TTTTTTTTAAGTTTTTCTACATTTCAACTTAGGTAAAGGCTTTTTAAAATTTGAGCTAAAGCCGAACAGTTCGTCTACCCAGATGTATCTGCCAAATGACCCTTATATCAAAAACTGTATCTCCGAGGGACAATTGATGTGCGGTCTATCTGGTGATAATCGAACATCTGAACAGCCTGGTCTAACTGCATTACACACCGTGTTCCTGAGATACCACAACCAAATTGCTACATCTATATTCCAGATTAATCAACAATGGACCGACGATCGTCTGTACGAAGAGACAAGAAGAATTTTAGGCGCGATATTTCAGATAATAACTTACAATGAGTATTTACCAGCCATTCTTAGCCAGTCAACTCGAGATGTATATGGCTTAGATTTAGAAGATGATGGGCATAAGAACATGTACAACCCTTTTGTCAACCCATCTGTGCTTAATGAATTCTCGACAGCGGCGTTTCGGTTCGGCCATAGTCAAGTACCATCATCTATTTCCCGTGTCAATAAGTACTATGACCCTTACCAGCCGCTTCTTCTTCGATTTGCGTTTCACAATGCGAGTGTAGTGTATGATGAGGGGAATGGTGGAATTGACGGAATTCTGCTAGGCCAGATTGTTACTCCTTTGAGTAAGACAGACGAGTCACTTTCAGAGGAAATCACTGACCATCTTGTACCGCGGCCAATCGACGGGTAAGAATATCTGAAATTGAATGACGTCATGATTTTAATCCACCAATTGAACTAATTATCTTTCTTTGTTTTAATAATAATAATAATAATAATAATAATAATAATAATAATAATAATAATAATAATAATAAGAATAAGAATAATAATGCCATATTACTTTTTTTTTATAAGAACACATTTTATAAGAACACTGAGACTGAAATCGGCCCAAAAAATAGGAACAATGAGCCTGGGCAAAATTTAACTGGTTCTTATAAAAAAAAAAAGTGTATCAATTTATTTAAAACACCATATCATCATTATCATTATTATTATAACATTCAGTAATACTGATAATAATATTATCATTTCTTTAATATTATTATTTTTCATCATCATTATTGTCATTATCACTATGTTTGTCATTACTAGGCCTGGACGGGACCTATTCTCCATAAACATTCAACGTGGCCGTGACCATGGCCTTGCATCCTATAATCATATTCGCGAAGCATGTGGTCTCAAGAAGGCTCGAAATTTTGACGATTTTGTGGATTACATTGAACCACCGACGATTGAGAAACTTAAACAGGCATACAAGTGAGTAGTAGTGTAGTTGAGGTAACACTAGCAGTAGTAGCAGTGGAGTAATAGTAGTACTAACAAAAGAACCAGTAGCAGGGGCAGTAGTATAGTGTGAATGTAATAAAAAAAAATGAGTTTTTAAACTGGCTTTATCTTACTCTGGAAAGGCACGTGGACGATGTTGACTTGTTTCTGGGAGGGTTGTGTGAAACATCCGTTAGCGGAGCTTCAGTTGGGCCTACATTTTCTTGCATCATTGGCGAACAGTTCCTGAGATTGAAATATGGTGACTATTTTTGGCATGAACGTGGTGATATTCGTAGCAGTTTTACATATGGTATGCTTGTAGAAAATTTATTTTGCCAACAGTAAATGTGTGTTTCTTGTCACCTTTCGTTAATACCTTATTGTTTACTGAAGAATGTACTTTTATTCATTCAAGTATTACTTTAAAGGACTATTGTTCAATTGAAGAAAAAATCCCTTTTCACTCTTAGGAATTGTCTGTTTCTTTGAAATGAACCAACCGGTTAAATAAACCGACGCTAATTAGTTGAATTCACTATTTATTTTGTTTAATATGTAAAGGACAGTTGCAGGAGATGCGGAAGGTCACGATGGCACGCGTTCTTTGTGACACCCTTGAAGATGTTTGGCGAATTCAACCAGACGTCTTCCACCTTCCGTAAGTTGTAACCATATTTGTTGAGTACACATAACGTTGATGCTCATTGACTCACACGTTAGGTATTTTTTGAGAAGCTTTGTATTGCGACTTATTTATAATATCAGCAATCCACACTCAAGTCTTAATAAATATATATACCTAGTATGTTGATAATTATAAAGCGCTCTATTAAGTCTCGGAGCACTCATATAC